GATGATCTTCATACCTAATTTACAAGAGCTAAATAGAAGTATGAGTTTAAGTGTAAGACACAAGTTTGTTACCCTAGGCTGACAGAGTGTTGTTCAAAGCAGGGCAACTTGTCAGCTTAGTTAATTGGTTCAGTTTAAGTTGGTACCTCCTAGTCAGGGTCATTGCATTGTGGTCCTCATGGCAAGACCCTTTACTCTCATAGTACCTCTCTCCACACAGGTGTATAAATGGGCACCAGTGAATTTAAATGTTGGGGGATAACCCTACAATGGACCAGCAGCCCACCCAACAGGGGGGAGGGCAGAAGCTCCGGCTGTATGGGCCACTGGCCTGATGTAGACTTCAGCTGTTACTATGATCACTACCCTCTACTCTTTGCCTTTGACTGAACACTTAAGTGTGCATCGGAGTTAACTCCCCTTACATTAACATGGCTTGGCCTACAAGTGGTACATGTCTTGGCATTCTAAATCCACAGCTAAATCCAAAAGTACCAATTGAAAGGTCATTGCTTTTGAAACTGTATGGTATTAATTACCCTCTAAGGTGGTCAAGAACAAAGATGTGCAACTTCATGTGTGTAGTTACTTGGTAAATTTAAACTTTTAGGGAGGTAAACTTTAGTGGAGGCTTCAATACAACATCAGAAAGTAAAAGATTCAGACTGGGCATAAAAACGTCAACACTTACTGCAAATCATTGGAATTTAATATTACCATTTGCTACAATGGCTGAAGATCAGCACTTAATTCTGCAATGACTGGATCAGCTTGTGATGAAATAAATTTGCACTCTGTTGCACAAGTTGGTATATACACACATTCATAATAAAGCTCATCACACACTCCTCCTCAACAAACATCTGTTGACACCTACATTTTAAGACCAATTCCACATCCAATTCCTGGAAGCCTGTGGGAGGTGTGCACTTTCAAACTTTTCCATGAGATAACACCAACAAAATGTTGACATTGCTTATTAAGGAGTGTTTTTGTGTCCCCAGTAATTAAGCTACATCTCAAACTGAGATCTTGCTATATTGACAGAGTCTATTTTGCAGGGGGAAACAGGGATCTATATTCACAGACGTCCAGTCATCCCAGACGCCTAAAAAATCGCACTGACAACCAAAACAATACGAAAAGTCGTCCACTGGACGAGTTTAGTTTGACTTAACCAAAAAATAAAACATTTCTTAAATTTTCTTATGGGTTCCCTGCATTCTAAC